GTTCGTGCCGTGACAATATCTTGTTTGTGCCGTGACCCCTATGGGCCACCGTATATAGCAGAAGCGTAACTCAAGCAAGTATTTGTCCGCGTTTTTACAAGCGATTCGTCATCAATCACGCCATCCTGGCTAGTACAACCGGCACTTTGTACCTACCAAATCCTGATAAAAACTTCCGGCTGTACTAGCCAGGATGACGTGGATTGGCGTGAGCGAGTTAAAATTTTCGTGGACGTCAAACAATAAGGGAAACGACTAGAGTTACGCTTCTGCTATAACTTCCTATTCTGTGCCGTTGTTTGAAGTGAAATTTCTGCAAAGGGAAACTTTCAAATTTTCAAAGGACTATATACATTGTTGGAAACCAAGATAGTTGTTTTATCAACTGTTGTAGAATTTTCGGCCGAGCTTTCCGTATTGTTGAGTTAGACGGGTTTGTTTATGACGATACGTGCAGCTTGGCCAATGGAAGTTGCCAACCTTGCCTCCTTTCCCATCCTACGCCGCATCGCCGTGAATGCCATGCATGATTTTAAAGCTGGATTTCAAGTGCTTCTCATACTAAAGGTATAAACTATGTATTTTTGCTGATGCATGCTATGAGTACCTAAGTATATTTCCTTCAGCGATAAGTATTGATTAGTGATACATTTTAGTGTAAAAATTCAGAATATTTTTGAGCTAATCGTTAACATTATTATTTCGAGGTCGAAACCGCAGGGGCTAATTAAGTATGCCAAGCATTTCAATTTAAATCGCACAGTGTGTCTGGGCTACCTATGGTACAAAACTGAAAAAATGAAACTTGAACACTTTTAAATACAGAATTATCAATCTCTAAAATATATAAAGTAGGTATTATTTTGCTTTCTATGGGCTTTATTTTAATGTAAAATGCAACACGAAACTCTTTGTAAAACGTTTTTAAATGTGAATTGAAATTAACTGCTTTTTCCCCAATAAACTCTTCAACTCCAGCTAGAACTTATTACTCGCACTTTGAAATGAAATAAATTTAATTCATACAGGACGCTAATGAAAATAATTTGCTTTCCTTTTTATCATGAGACATGAACTTCTATAAGAGTTAATTTAACTAAGAAACTTTCGCATACAATGCATACTAGGAAAGATTTGAACAACAAAAACGTTTATAAATATATAAATACAAGGTCATACATAAACAATTGAAAGAAACTTTCCTTGTACTTTAGGATTTCTTATACTAAATCAATTCTTAATGTTTACGTTTAAAAATTGAAAAAGTTTTACAATGTGTTATGTGAAACGATATGTATATTTTTGCCTCCTTCACTCCTAGCAAACAGCCATATTTTGAGATCAGTGAGATGACCACCCATACACCATGCGCCCGCGATATTTGATGAGCTTTAGACTTCGTTAGTGCGTTCCTTTCCCCGGGTGTAAATAGCCGGGCGGAATTAGTACCCTCGCCCCGGGCTTACGCCCCGAACGGCGCTCTGCGCCGTTGGCTCGGGCATTAAATACACACGAATATACACAAATATTATCTTGGGAGGGTTTTTAATGTTTGCGCTATTAACGCTGACTATCGAATAGCTAGCTTGGCCGGTTCTTTTATAGGGCAGATTGTGATTGGCTGAATTTACGTTGACGACAGGTTGATTGACATGTTACGCTAATTTATTCAACAATTTAAAAATAAATACAGTAAAAACAAACGGCATCGCTATATTAAAGTGTAAACCTGTCGGCTAAAATTCAAAAGACAAAGTGTAAAATGTATAACATATACCGGTATCTAGACAGAATAAGGCAAGCCATACTGCTATTACTGCATATGTCGTATGATTTTACCGTATGGTCACTATAGTATAGAGTATAAAACCTTGGCTGTCCTTGCCTTGTCTATATTTTGCTGGCTGGCAAATTACGATTATTTAAAATAATAATTCCCCACTGTGTTTAATACAGCATAATAATCCGAAGCTCTCTTTGGAGCATTTAAAATACATTTGCCTGCCAACGTGTATAACACGAGAAGGGTTCTATTTACTTTTCCTATTAAAGTCATTTATTATATTTAATACTGCAATATTTATAACTGTATTACAGCCATACAGGTGCAAAGCATAATATAATTTTGAACGGTCTTCGTCTACTATTAATTTCCAGACAAAGTCGAAGGGCCTTCGCTCGAAATGCCGACGTTTTGCTTGTATTTCCAGGCAGTTGAATCGCTATCCATCTATTGTAAAAAGTTTATTGAAAGCATGTAGCGCAGGCTATAGTAAATATGCAACAATTGACATTTCAAGTCATCATTTATACAAAACTAGTTCGAGTGGGCGGTGTTAATATGGAATATTAACTAAGTAGGCGGTATCAATTTTACTAGGGCTTTCGGGCAGGCTCTACTTATACAAGAGCCGGCCACGCTGGCTAACTATCGAACAATTCCTGGCCCTAACCTATCCATTTTTCCATGAAACAGCAGTCACGAAAAGAAGACTTGTACTTTTTCGGCCATTTTTGATGATCACAACAATCAGTTTGCTGCGATTAACATATTTTTACGAGAAAACAGCTAATATGCTTATAACTTTGTTTGTTTCATTCCTCTCGTCCCTGTTCATTTGCTTAAACTACAAGATTTGCAGATGGCTGCTTATTGTATATGCCACCATTGTAAACCCAATTTTAGATGGCCAATTACTTCAAAATGATCTCGAGAAGTTAGAACTATGGCAAAGTAAATGGCAAGTGGAGTTTAACCCCCAAAAATGTGCAACCATGTGTATTTCATTGAAAAAGAATGTACCACTTAGAAGATATATATACCTTTGTGGTGAAGTTCTAAACAATGTTGATTCCCATCCATATCTGCATTGGCCTGCAGTTGGATGCTAAATTGAGATGGAAAGAACACATCCAGAACACTAACTAAAGCCAATAGGATCCTTGGATTAATAAAACGGAACTTGTTGTTTTGCACGGAAGATGTCAAGAAAATTTTGTACGCAACCCTAGTGAGACCTAAATTAGAGTATGTAATTGCAGCATGGGACCCTCACTTCAAGTGTGATGTGGATTGAGCAATTGGAAAGATCTGCAGCTCGTTTTTGTTTAGAAGATTGTAATCGAACTTAAAGTGTCACCGCCATGATCCACAATCTACAACTAGAACCCCTAAAAAAAGGACTATTGCTCGGTTGCTAGCTGCTGATGTATAAAATTACCAATAACATGATTAATGTAGATAAAGAATCGTATCTACAATTTGCCAAAGAACAGCGAACAAGAAATAATCACCAGTATAAACTGCTAATCCAGAAATGTTCCAAGGATGGATTTAAATATTCATATTTTATAATATCTATTAAATGATGAGACACTTTGTCTCAAATATTACATTCAGTAAATGTAATTTAGAAAACTTGACGTATACAAATGTCTGTAGTGCGTATGACACGAAACAGTTATCTCAAAGGACAAAACTAATAAAGTTGTGGTGTATAATTATATTATACGTAGTTGACGGGCTTGTATATATAGGGCATAGCTACATGCGGTTAGTTGTATAAAAAAGTATTTAAAATTAAGTACAGTTAGTGCCAGTAACTACATGCAGTACCATAATTTAACTACCGGCCCATGATAAATACGAATAACCGTCGGCGTTTTGAGTAAAGCCAAACAGCCTTCGTATGCAAATTAGTCACGATGTTTTTCATACGTTGTCCATCACGCTACTAACTTCGAGACTGGTGGCTTCGCCTTGAAACGTTCAAGTTCCTTCTGTATTTCAGGTAGTCTAACTCCAAACACAAAAGCGCGCCAATTGATTTTCAATTATTTGTTTGTGTGAATTCGTAAATGTAAACTTTAGTGACTCAGTACTATACTCGATTCATGAGGAAAACACAAAGAAAAGTCATAAGCATGTAGTATCTTTATATGTGCTAGAGATTTCCCTCGATTTACATAAACTTTAACTTTGATTTTCTCGACTTACACAGCGTATTTTTTGAAAATTACTTCGCCAATGAACTTACTAGATCGATCGTTTTTTATCCAATTTAAAACATTCGCAGTGCGTGTTTTATCAGACCTAAAGATAAACACTGCTGCTCATGTTTTAAAACATTGGCAGTATGGCAAAACCTTAGCAAAAACCCACGCGCTGTGATTGTTTCTATTTCGGCATGCTGTCACACGGTACACTTCGATTAAGAGCCGCAGATTGAAAATTAGTACGGCGCTTATATTCGGGGACAGCGCTCAAACAAGTAATTACAGTTTTCACGTCGACGATGTACGGTCTGCTAGTTTTTTTTTCATGTTGGGACTCACTGTATATTAAATATGTCAGATTTCTTGTCAAACGGAGAACTTTTATTCCACTTTCTAATATATTTCTTAATATCGAAATTGAATGGCCCTACAATTACTGCTTATAGCGGTAGATACTGATATATTGCCTAGAAGCATCTGAGTTTTGCCGCAGAATTTCTCATTTTGGCCGCGGAATTTCTCATTTTGGCTGCTGAATCTCTTGTTTTGGCCGCCGGAATTGACCTTAAAAATTCCGCGGAATTTGCTATTTTTGCCGACGGTATTCCAGATTGATACCAGTGATACATCACTGAAAATAAAATAAATGTGATTTGGAATATAAATCCTTGCTGTATCAGTGCTAGGTAGTATGCAATGTTACACTGACTGACTGTGCAATGGTTGCTTGCGACGCTTTGTTTGACTGGTGGTGTGTTTACAGTGTTTCTGGAAACAGTCAAATGACGCGTTTTTACTAGCTGCTCAACAAAAACATTGCGATTTACGAGACAACTTTCAAGAGGGGTGTTATACTACGGTACCTATACAATGCTTTAAATGTGTGTTTCAATGTTGTGTAGTTTTGCGAAAATTACAACCTGATTCTACTTCCTTTTTTAGGATGGCCTCATGTTCTCTGCGCTCTGTATATTCCTGAAGTGAGATTTGGAAATGTGAGCACAATGGAACCTATTATACTGTCATCCGTACCTAATGAAAAGTTTCAGAAGGTCAGTCTTATAATAATATATTGTACTGTCAATACTATATATGCAATTATGCATCTGATACATATTCAATCTGATTGTATTATTACTGTACTTTAACTCATTGAGTGGCAGCACTCTCCACTTGACGAGTAAAATACTTTGGCGTTAGACAGAGTAAAATACTAAAGTAGGACGCGTCAGGGTGTATTAGGTTAATAATATACATGAAAGGAATTGCTCAATTCTGATTGGCTAAGAGCATAATCGGGGTTCCCAATAGAGTTTGGAGTATAGTCTTTTTCAAAGAAGTAAGTGGCCATGTGGTGTCGAATGTACCCAGCCGTGCAAAAGGGGAGTCGAGGGCGTCTCAGCCTTCAAATTTTGATATTTAGACCATCTGAAGTGGTATTTCCAGTGCTTTTTGGACAGTAGTTTCGGAGATTTTGTCATATCCAAATTTTAGCGGAGAATTTCATGTTATATGTTATAAAATTTATGTTATAAAAACAAGAAATCTTTCCTTCGACATTTCTTTGGTAAGGAGGGAATATTTTGGTATACCGGATGGGGGAAAAAAATACGACTGTTTGAATTGCTGCAAAAGCAAAACTAAAAGAGCAATGACACTAAAACAAGCTTAGTGGCATTCAACGATATCCAACTTAACTTTTGAAGTATTGGCATACATGCACATTTCGATGCCATATTGACAAAGATACATGCATTCAGACAGGAGTAAACATTTTTGGAACTGACGAAATTAACTATATACTCAAATTATGTGGTTGCTGCACATGTGGCACATTCCACATTTTATGTTTCAAATAGCCCCATGCAAAGAAAAAAATCGCATACTGTTAGAATAAAATCAGAAGAGATCAAAATTTAAGTTAAACATCATGGATTATACAGTGACTTATTTAAGTGTAATAGTTCTTTTACTTTTTAAGTCATGGCAAATCAAACAGTCGTACTTTTTTGCCCCACCCGCTATAAGCTGAAGAAATAGCCGGCGATTGTCTACGCTACAGACGGCGAAAATCGCTGGGTGCTGGCTTCTATTGGGAACTCTGACTGCATTGCTATTAATATAAGGTAATATGGTTTTATAATAGTGCAATTTGGAAAAATCCTACACGAATGATTTTTTCAGTAAGCAAAGGAAACCCAGCTAGAAGCACGGACTTTTACTGAACTAGAGATTGTTGTTCGGATTGTCAAGATTTTGGTTTAATCTTTGCCTAAAGGAACAAAGAAGGTCCCAAACGCACAGGGATTTGCTAAGTACATATTGACATATACCCCAAAAATATTTTAATGTTATACATTTGTTTAGAATACATGCAGTAGCTTGAAACTTGGAATCATGCTGACCACTTATTAAACTACAGTAAATCATTGTTCAACATGTGACAACTTTTTGGGAATGTTGGTAACGGAATTTTGCAAAATATTGAACTTTTTGGGCATGCACGTATTCAAACTTTTGGCAAGTAGCTGTATATTACACTAAATACTTTGAATGCTTTGTTTTGCTTCCAGTGACTGTGGTAAGTTGCAAACAACCTAGAGTAGATCCAATACCTTATTCTCACATTTTGCGATTTATAACATCGCGTAATGCAATGCACTGTTTACAGTTGAAGCCATATTCCAACGTGATATGTAAATTAGTAAGAAAAACTCTAAGCAGTATTTCAAATTTCCCCATTGAGTGATTGATTATTAATTGGTTTTTTTTCACAGACATGTTATTTATGTGAAGAGCATGGCCGTGAAAGCAAGACATCTGCTGGAGCTTGTATGCAATGTAATAAAATTGGTTGTAGGCAAGCATTTCATGTGACGTGGTAAGCTTTCATCTGTTCAAACAAGAAATAGGTTGTATGAATGCCGGATAGCGCTATCCAACGGATTGTGATTTTTTCAAACTCTAATTAACTGTTGAATGTTGTAGTACAGTATACTGTATAACCACGATTAACTAGACTCGGTTGAAGTCCGTCTCTCAAGGGGTTGAAAATAGCGATGCACGCGAGCGGTCAAAAAAGGCGCGAAAATATGAAAGAAAAGTAGGGAGAGGCGGACTTGGATACGCTGCAAGCCCGCCAAATTTTACCGTCGAATTTTTACTACGGAGGCGTGGCTTGCGAGTTGAGAACAACAACAAATTTTCGCGCCAATTTTTGCAAGTAACATTCGAAATGTTGCAAATGTCCCAAGTCCGTCTCTCACTACTTTTCTCCTGAGACGGACTTCAACCAAGTGTAACGATTAACGTGTCATAGTAATTATAAACTGGAAGCTTTTCTATATTTATTGTGAGGTACATCTATGTAGTTTCACAGCTTTGGATATAGCACTATCCGACCTTCGTACAACCGGCCCCAGTTTAACATGCTCGTCCAACGACCAACATAATTTCATATTGAAGAAGATTGAGTTTTAGAAAGGGAACACGTCAATCTCACTTCCACCAAAACCCTAACCCTCGTAAAATCCTTGAATTTGCCTCTATGAAATAGTATTTCCCGTATTCAGACAGCACTTTTTAGAAAAAATGTAACAGTCTTTTAATTTAATGACGTGTACAGTAATATACAACGATCAAGTACTTTCTTCCTTTTAAAGTTTATTACTCACATTTGCCACAATTACAGTACTTCAAAGCATATTGTGAAAAATATAATTACGGAGAAGATTGCGTTTCTTCTATACCGTTGTAGCCGTACCCCGGTAGTCAGAAAAGTGCTTGTATGAATCGACGCCTATATGTTTTCAGATTGCATAAGCGTAACCTGGAAAGTTCTTTGCAAGTCTTACTGCAGTGTTGAATTTTGAGCAGGGAATTACCACCGACAATGATTTTAGTAATCTCTTACTTGATCACTTTGATTCTACCGTTACTCCATTAGGTAATTTAGGTAATTTATGTGGCTCTGATATCGTATAGTTTCGCTCTGTTGGTATCTATAATTTCAAATTTTTAAAGTTTTTTTCTTAGTGTAAAAATAAACCCTAATTGTAGAATTGACCAGTGCTGGAAAATGTCCGGCAGCGCCACACCGCGGTCAGGGAATTTTTAACAAAATATCTTCGCGGGAAAATGTCATACATCTTGGAAGAAACGTTTGTCCTACATGTACAGTATAGCCATATAATTTACTTATCGTTAAGAAAAGCGTTTTGCAAGTCGAGATTGTCTTGTTCCGAGATTGACTGAGTTTATCACAGTGTTTTATATGTGATAAAACACGACTACAAGTGCTTTAAATAGCTTCAAAAACGACTCATCTTATACGAGTTCATTGGCGAAGTAATTTTTAAAATAAACTTTGCCTAAACCGAGAAAATCAAAGCTAAAGTTTATGTAAATTAACGTGATTTTTTATCACATATAAAACCACGACACGCTTATGATTTTTCTTTGTGTTTTGCTCCTGAATTATTAATGAGTTTTTGAAGTACTATTTAAACTTCTCGCTCCGTGATGGTAAGAGAAGAATAACACTGCGATAACCTCGAGTTTGTATTAGGGATATTTTATAATACGGTAGTCGGTACTGAATTATTTCATTTTGATAATACAGTATAATTATGTACTATTTAAAGCACGCGTAGGAGTGTTTTATCACATATAAAACACGACGCGTAGCGGAGTGTTTTATATGTGATAAAACACGACTACAAGTGCTTTAACTAATAGCTTAAAAAACGACTCATCTTATACGAGTTCATTGGCGAAGAAATTTTTAAAATAAACTTTGTCTAAACCGAGAAAATCAAAGCTAAAGTTTATGTAAATTAACGTGATTTTTTATCACATATAAAACCACGACACGCTTATGATTTTTCTTTGTGTTTTGATGAGTTATTATTCTTTGTGTGAATTATTAATGAGTTTTTTAATGATATTTAGTGCCCAGAATGCGAAGCTGCTGTGTGAGGAGCAACAAGGGGTATCAGCAAACACAGTGAAATATGTTGGATATTGTTCTTATCATTGGAATAAGAAGGTACGCAGTAACGTACTAACGTACACGTTTAGAACCATTCTCGTCAGTTTGAATTCATATTATTTTGGCACTGCAGAGTACAACGAAATATTCGTTGTCTCGAGCGGGATTCGAACTCGCATTTTCGAATATCTAGACCGCCACTCTAGCCATTGAGCTATCGGGTCAACGGGGATTGTTAGCGAGTCTTATCCAATTGTTGTAAAATGCGGATAATATAGCCTTGCGAAGTTTGCAATTTTCAGTCATTTTAGATTATAAACGGGAAATTGATACCCAAACACCCGATTTGGGTATCAATTTCCCGTTTGCAATCTAAAATGACTGAAAATTGCAAAATTCGCAGGGCTATATTATCCGCATTTTACAACATTTCGTAACGAAACTTTGGAATATTACTAATTTTGTGATGCTCTTTCAAGCTGTGATGAAATTTTTGTCTAGATCAAAATTTTAGTATAAGGTTAAAGGTCCATTGACATAAACATATCATACCAATTTGAAAGCGATTGTTCTACATCACTGATCACAAAGCACAAATCCCAAGGCGCTCGTGTCAACATTTCTTTAAGTCCCGTCCAATTTGCATTTCTTAGGTTGTATATAGTTCGCTTCACTTTTAGTAGTTTTTTAATTTGAAGGTCAATCTGAAAGCTTATATTAGTCCGTATGTTGTGACCTCGAAAAGTGCCTAGAAAAAATTTTTCATTAAGCATGTCTTAGATCTGAAATATTTTTACAGGAAATAACACTTTCGAACACGCTGATTTCAAATCCGAAAAGTTCCCACTCCGTAGACCCGCAGTTTTTTCACAAAATGCTATTTTATCTTCACTAATTTCACAACAATTTTTTCATTGTTCAACGACACGGATCGATGACGATACACGATTATGTCACTCAAAATGACCAATTCCTATTAACCATTCTTCCTTTAAACAAAAGACCGGTTTTGCTCGAATCATTCTGAGTTATGCAATCTTATGCGTGTTGGACGTAAACAACATATCTTGTCTACAACTTTGGGAAGGTACAGATAATTCCTTCTAAAATCCTTAGTTCTGGATCTATCTCTATAAAATCACAAGGACGTTAATGTCAAGTCTTTGTGCTATGTCTCTGGGACGAGAAATAATTCCTTACATGCGATCAAAATGTTTTATACAAAGATATAAAACGGTAATCTATATGTAATGGATCAGCATTGAAATTTCCAACACGGTTTCCAAGACGTAATTCAAGAGATACTTATCATTGCATTTGAACTATTACATGAGTTGGTGTTATACTGTGCGATAAGCGAGTATTATTGGAAAGAGGGCTTCTATATACGTCGAAATCTTCAAATAAACAGCTCATGCACACATTTCTCCACTTCGCGGTAAGTTTACAGAGCATATTTTATACTTTGTGACTGATCTTTGTCTTTGATGTGAACATTTATTCTTATAGTTTAAGGTTATTTAAGATTGATCCTGTCGTAAGTCTTCTACCTGCAACCATTCGACAATATTTCGTTTTAGCGTTGTCTTTGCCGTTACGTTGGCTTCGCGTTACTTTTGTTTTAAATATCTTGATCGCGCTAAACGAGTTATTTTTCAGGCCAGTGACATAGCTAAAAGACTTGATATTAAAGTCCTTGTGATTTTATAGAGATATCTCTAGAACTGAGGATTTTAGAAAGCGTTATCTGTACCTTCTCAAAGTTGTAGACAAGATATGTTGTTTACGTCCAACACGCATAAGATTGCATAACTCAAAATGATTCGAGCAAAACCGACCTTTTGTTAGAAGGAAGAATGTTTAATAGAAATTGGTCCTTTTGAGTGACATAATCGTGTATCGTCATCAATCCGTATCGTTGAACAATGAAAAAAATTGTTGTGAAATTAGTGAAGATGAACTAGCATTTTGTGAAAAAACTGCGGGTCTACGGAGTGGGAACTTTTCGGATTTGAACTCAGCGTGTTCGAAAGTGTTAGTTCCCGCAAAAATATTTCAGATCTAAGACATGCTTAATGAAAGTGAACGATATCGGGTCACAACACACGGACTATATGGTAAAATACTATAATGACGCATTCAGTTTTCTGATATGACGTTTTCAAATACTATAATGACTCATTCAGTTTTCTCACAGGGTGCGATAATTCGCGTACTTACGTTAGGTTACGTACCAGAGTCCAGAGGTACGCCAATATTACGGTCTGGTACTTTTTTGTTTTCAGCGACGTACTGCGTAGGTACTGTACGCGGAGCTCTCGCTATTTGCGTACTTAGGTACATTTTGCTGGTACCATGTTACCTTACCAAACTCAAGGTATTCAAAACCGTAATTAAGCAGGTATATGGGCACGTCTGACATGTCTTGGCATGAAAAATTATTCGACTGATGGGACTAAGCCTAAGGAATGAGTTTATTCTAGTGTTTGTGTGTGCAGTTGTCGTCCTTCTTGTTCTGACCCGTGGTTTCAGGTTACTGAATTAATACCTTTCAAAAACCTGTACTTTATGTACTTCATTTTAAACAATAAGTACACCTTGAGTCTTAAGTTTGTCAAGTACGTAGCAATGATCATAGGAGTGCCACTCGGGTACGGCTAAAAATCTTGAATTATCGCAGCCTGTTACTCTGCCCGACAAAGCAAGACAAATTTTCCATCCGAATTAATTTAACCAAAATTTAATCAAATTGTCCTTGGGAAATGTCCATTGGTCTCGCAAATTTTAGCATTGCACTGTGTAATACGTTTGATATTTTATAATTGATCTCACTGATTGACGAACACACAAACGCAGATGAGAACATAACCTCCTATAGCGGAGGTAATAATTGCTACTGTAATTTGCTTTTCTAACGATTTAACAAACATTCACTTGACTATAGAAGTTATCTTTTAACGTTTTAGGCGTGCGCATTTCTTTGGAACCTCGTATTCAGGCGATGGGACTTCGTTGGCTGTTTATATCTTTTTTATTAAATTTTAGTATAGCTAACGAAAGTTGCCCTTCATTCCTTTTTTACCCAGAATTGATTCTTTGTCAAATTCTGAAGAAATATGTAACCGCAGTAAAATCGGTTTGAGTAACGAATAAAATTAACCTATTAACCGCTCCCAGTCTAACATAATCGTCTTCTAATATGAATTCGGCTAGTTCAGAATTCATATATTATTCAGTAAGGGCAGAATTTTGTATATTCTATATAGGGCAAAGGCGTTGTGGTCCCTAGAGCTAGCGAGAGAGCACGATCAAAGGCAGAGGGACGAACACAACATGTTCTAAAACCAGACATTAGTAAACGACCTTCGGTGATTGGGACCACGAAATCTACTGAATCCACATCACCAACAAGCTCATCAGCGAAACCGAAAAACCGAAAACCATCGTTCAAGACATCGGATACCTTTCCAGAATCATTGTCGGCCAGTGACAGTTCGAATTTACTCGGCTCTCAACACCTTATGAAAACTCAAAAAATTACATCACCATTGAACACGCCATCAGTGCGAGACCATCTGTCCAATTACTCGAGTGTGGTTTCCACTCCTTTTCTTTTTTTTTCCCAACTCCCCATCCGCAAACCTGACACACCTAGTATCGGGCAGGCAGTGAGCAACGGTGTTTCAAACACCGTCCTACCCAAAAGTAGTGCTGCTGTTACACAGGCGGAATCTTCCAAAGAGATCTGGAAGTCGCCTCCAACCCAGACAACTGCGAAGAAAAGCGAGGAAGCAGTCAACACCACGAAGACTGTGTCTAACAGCGAGACAAAGAACACTGAGGCAAAGAACAGTGAGGCAAAGAACGGTGAGGCAAAGAACAGTAACGAAAGCAGCAGTAGTATAACAAAGAAACGAAAGAACAATAAGGCGAGTAGCGCAGATGAGGATGGTAAGAAGAAACAAAAGACAAACAGCAATCATGAAAAGAAAAGTTCATATTCCCTAGGTGCTGTTGGGAAAGGGAAAGGGAAAACGCCAATATTACAACCGTCTCCTTTCGTTTCGAAGTCAAGTTCCAGTTCAAGTGTTCGAGAAATGTAAGTTGAAATTGTTTAAACAGAATTTGGCGACAAAATAGCCACCGCTTGTATACTATTTTACATTTAACAAATATAAAACATTTTCCGTGTTGATATACAGTTATATTAACACGAGTGGAAATTGGGAAAACGAGAAATTGTGTGGAAACACGACGCCCGAAGGGCGGAGTGTTTTCACACAATTTCGAGTTTTCCCAATTTCCACGAGTGTTGATATAACTGTATATCAATACGTAAAAAATGTTTTATATTTGTGTTATAATATAGCACAAAGAAACATAAAGAAAGAAATTTTCCGACGTTTCCGTGTTGAAATTGAGTTATATCAACACGGCTTTTAGCCAATCAGCGTTCAGAATTTACAAATGCTATATTATAATTCATTCATACATAATGACCGACCATTTTTAACAGTGAGTACATACAATAGTGTACGAATAATGAATGTTAATGAATACATACCTGATGTTAAAAATTAATAGAAATCCAATAAATACGGTGTATGTCCCAAAATGTTTGAGTGAAGAGTTTAGGTAATAATGCCAATCATTGTCGTGCCATTTTGCTTCGCACAAATTATGCATTTGAATTTAATTCCATTGCCCTCATTTTGAAGATTTGGGTTGCATGAGCTACGATTAGGAATTTTCACGGATGGAATGTATTGAAAACCAAACCGTGCAATGGCAACATAGTACAAAAATTTTCGGCTGAACGCGTTCCATTGCACGCTCAACAAAATGGTAATTTTATTCTATATCAATAAGTTATCATTCATAATCAGCCAATTACATAACCAGAATTTAATGAGGTTCATGTTAATTTAATGAGGTGCATGTTGGTGCATGTCGCACGTTGTTTATGCATGAAACATTTAGGTGAGGTAACATTGAGGTGTTTAGGCTACAAACATCTTCTTACACGTAATTCGAGTCGGGTATAGAGCGTTTGCACATGACGTCACAGCCGCCATGTTGGTGTTCCAATTCAAAAGAATTTTAATTAGACTCTTTTGTCTGGAACACCAACATGACCGCCATGGCTTTTGTTGAGCTGGTCCCTGCGGAATGAGTGCAAACGCTCTATAGTGATCGAATCGTAGTGCAAAACGTGAAGCAAGTGATATTGTTCGTCATATGTAGATTACCCTATATAAGCTCTTGATTGTTTCATGAAACTAAGTTAAAAATATCAAAATATATCCTTCGGCAGAATAACCATATAAAAGTTGATGCTTGTGATGTTACTCTGAGTGTAATTGTCCACACTGGGCAAGCTTGAAAAATAGCCTGACCACGGTGGGAATCGAACCTACGACCTTTTGGAATACTAGCCCAATGCTCTACCAACTGAGCTACGCGGTCTGGTCGGTTCGAGCATGTGATATTTCAGAACAGAATCTAGTTCCTTCGATATCAATGTTATCTAATAATAATCATGATTTTTCTGTGTTGGTGCATGTAATGTTCTCACGTGAATATGATGCTTGTGATGTTACTCTGAGTGTAATCGAACCGACCAGACCGCGTAGCTCAGTTGGTAGAGCATTGGGCTAGTATTCCAAAGGTCGTAGGTTCGATTCCCACCGTGGTCAGGCATAATTTTCAAGCTTGCCCGGTGTGGATAATTACACTCAGAGTAACATCACAAGCATCATATTCACCTGAGTACATTACACCAACACAGAAAAATCATGCATATAAAAGTTGATTACCTTGAACACGACTTTTCGCAACTGCTCCTGGTTAGGTCTAATAAATATTATATAAAGTTTACACTCGAAATTTCCATCTACAAAACCCTTTAACAATTGCATGCAGTAGTTCTATCGAGTGCATGAGATGACCAAAATCTTGATATTTACCCGCTTGTAGAAATAGTCGAGCTGAATAAAAATGCCACCGAAGTTTGTAGACAGTAGCCGAGCTACAGGCTTGCTAAAATTTTCAGTTACATATTTCCACCCTATACAGTATGTAGTCCCTGTTAAAAATGGAAGCATTCTTTATTGGTCATAAATTAGTATACAACATTCGATAGCCATGATGTACTCATACTGACAGTAGGCCCGTTCGCAGGTCAGGTCCACTAAATTTAGAACAGACATTTCTTTTCAGAAAGGTACAGTAAACTGAGCCACTTCGTTTTGTCCGGTATTAAATAAGGCAAAGATATCCAGAGTTTGCAACCAGTCAAATTGCTTAACATGTAGTTATTTGTCCATATGTCTTCAAAATATTAACACTGTTTATGGTATGGACGAATTAACTCACATTTGTGCACAATGTTTGATTAAAACTACTCTTGTCAGGGACGTTTGAAACCCAAAGTTAATAATTACAAATTATTAGAGATACAATATTTGTCATTTTAATTACATCGGTCTTTTGTTTGTTTGATCGCTTATCTCCTTTCGCTACGGACTCATATGAAATGACTCAGTCAACGCTTTGCCGAAAGTCGTGGGTTTTCTCCGGGTGCTCCAATTTCCTCCCACAGGGAAAATTTTACAGGGTAGGTTAGCATAAACAAAGTTAAGAAAGTAAATATCACGATTATTGTAAAGATATAATAGTCTAGACTAAGTATGTAATTAGGTAAGTGCAATACTTGATGAAATGCGCAGTTGACCATATCCATATGTATGTCAATCTTAAATGTTAATCTTATACATGTACATAATTTTTAACAAATTCTAATTATTTTCTTCTTCAGGGAAATCCCTACGAAACTGGACGATTTTCTCGAATTCCAGTGGAAACAAGGAGTGGAATTTCTCAGTCACCAACCTGGATATTTAGACGGTGAGTTAATACATATATAACTGCTTCTTTCTGCTTTCTGTTTATTCTGTTTTGAATTTAGGTGTTCCGCAATACCTTATACAACTCCGTATAACGCAAACCCTCTATTAAGTGTTGAAGGGTTGCGAAAAAATGCAACTACAGTATGTACTGTAGGCCCTCTGGCAGGAATTGAACCTGTGGCTCTGTGATTCCGGTGCAGCACTCTAACCGTCTGAGCTTGAATCGCAGGGCACAAGTTCGATTTCTGCCATAGGGCTATAGTTTTTCGCAGCTGCTCCTGGGTGATCTTTAAATACTTTACATATAACCACAGTCTCACACAAGTCAAATAGTCGACTAATCAGTGTCTGATTGCTTCAAAGAAGCGTAACAGGCTTATTGTCCTATTTCGTGACACTCAGATTATTTCAGCACGGGTTGACTATATAACAAACATACTTGCAGGTTCGGTGAGTCTGGGATTGGACGCACCGAGGGTGGCTGGAAGTTTCCCGAACTCACCGAGTGAAGCGAGGTATATTGTTGAAAAGAGAAAATGAACACATTCTGCGAAAACAACGCCAAGATTTATATAAACCTGCCCGTGCCAAACAAATTTCGGCGGCCATCTTTCTTCTCTTCCACTTTGAATACAGAATATTCCATTTTTATCAAACAAAATAAAAAAATTATAAAACAATTAAAAACAGTTAATTTATTTTTTATTTAAATCTTCGTTTGAAATTTGTTCAAATCGCTTCATAATGGCCGCCGCCGAAACATCGATCTCGAACCCACCTCCTAAACTTACGTCAGCAGGTGGGTTCGAGATTGAACGTACCTCCTCGTAGCCAATAGGAAAGCCGCTAATACGCTAGGTATGAGATAATAAATATAGCTCTGACTAAACTTAGCCCGGGCTCAAACTGCTCATGTAATCGTGATGCAATTTCGGCTCGTTTAACCGGGCTGAAACTCAGCCCGGGCTGAAAACTCTCCTTGTAATCAGCCCCTAAAAAAGTAAAATATATTTCATCTGACATTTTCTTATATATAGTTTTATCGTGCAAATATTACATAAAGAAAGCCTCTTTTCTACTTTATACCAGAGATCACTGCAGTTTTGCTTGCACAAATTTCTTCAATGCGCTCTATTATTGTGCACGTACTTTAGCTTTCTTTCCATGTGCATGCAGCGCTCTCGTTTTCAGGGATTTCCCCTTAGAGACAAGAATTTTGTATGGTTTTAGGGATTTTTGTAGGGAATTGCAAGTTGTTATGATTTCTAGAGTTATCTCATACCTGTATTAAAAGCGGCTTTCTGATTGGTTTAGAGCAGCTGAATTTGTCGTCGAGCTCACCTGCTTTTTGCCGAACTCACCTGCTTTTTGCCCGATCTCACCCACTAAACTGCTTACGTTGCAATAACAATAACAAATATGGCGGACAAGATTTAGCCGATAAACCTAAACTTTAAAGAACTTTTTTCGGTGACTAACATACTGAGACTGAAGAAAAACCAAAGAAAAAATGCAGTAAAGGTAATGTAGACGCAGATAAAGAAGTATTTTCTTGCCCAGTGATTTTTTTGGCCGGGAAAATGTTCACAAAACATCGACGAATATATCGCGAAGAGCTACAAATGTGTGTATGGCTCGGTGTATGGGATAAAAACCAAACGTACTTGCAGGTTCGGTGAGTCTGGGATTGGACGCACCTCGGGTGGCTGGAAGTTTCCCGAACTCACCTCGCTTCGCTCGGTAAGTTCGGGAAACTTCCAGCCACCCTCGGTGCGTCCAATCCCGGACTCACCTCCCTGCAAGTACGTTTGTTATATTATCTCATACCTAGCGTATTAGCGGCTTTCCTATTGGCTACGAGGAGGTGCGTTCAATCTCGAACCCACCTGCTGACGTATGTTTAGGAGGTGGGTTCGAGATCGATGTTTTGGCGGCGGCCATTATGAAGCGATTTGAACAAATTTCAGACGAAGATTTAAATAAAAAGATAAATTAACTGTTTTTAATTGTTTTATAATTATTATTTTTTTATTTTGTGTGATGAATATGGAATATTCTGTATTCAGAGTTGAAAAAAGAAAGATGGCCGCCGAAATTTGTTCGGCACGGGCAGGTTTATATAAATCTTGGCATTGTTTTCGCAGAATGTGTTCATTTTCTCTTTTGAAGAATAAGGGAATATTGTAGAGAATTTTTTTAGCTTTAATTTAAGCCTAAGTTTGTTTGTTTGCGTAGTATGTTGGCGGCTAAAATGTTCATTATCCAAACACGAAATTATATACTAAAAAGTAAAATGTGTATAAAATTCTTCAGTACTTTTTAGTATTTTACCGAAATGGCGTGTGATAAAAACCTAACATACTTACAGTTTCGGTGAGTCCGGGATTGGACGCACCTCGGGTAGCTGGAAGTTTCCCGCCACCCTCTGTGCATCCAATCCCGGACTCACCTCCCTGCAAGCATGTTTGTTATAGAACCTCTCTGATGTCAATTTCACGACATTATAGGAATGTGGTCGTCTTGACACAAACATATGACACGTTTGTTTGGGCGGGAGGAACCATACGCAATTTTGGTAGCGGAATATTAGGGAAAACTGAGGAATTTCAGAGCTTCCTCTCCTGCGTGTGTTGACAGCCACACAGTGATGGGAAGATCAGTAAACTGTAAGCGACTTTGATATCGATTATTATTTACTTGATATTTGGATTGTATTCTGCTTGTAAGATAATGAAAAAACCTTGAAAACGTTTAGTCCTTGAGTAGTCACAGGAGGCCCAGGGTCGATTTGCCCGCGCCCGCCTGTGCCTTCCTTATAACGAGGGAAGGAAGGAAACATTGAGACCAAAATAGCCCAGACTTTGCATATGTCACACGAAACTATCCTCGATTTTTCGCCTTTAATGCATTTCTTTCACGATTAATCGATATCCCCTGCAAGAATGATACCGTATAACTCTCAAAACAACGATGCTTTAATCAAAGAGCTTAAATTCGCTCTGAAATCCGTGAGGGAATAACAAAATTCGGCCAAAATATATCCGCGTGCGGGGTTTGCTGGACAAAAAGCGGAAGTCGTTGAACAACTCAAAATACACTCAACCCTGATTGGACAAAGAAAATCAACAAACATTTCAAATTTTCAGTAGTCAGTAATGTAATATAAATTTGAATCAAAACAATTAACAAATGTTGTCGGGGGAAAACCAGTGCAAATCTAATTATTTAAATTTAAGAAGTTTAGTCAGTAACTACGGATAGTAATTTACCCTTTTTGACAAGATGTTTCAGCATAAATTATAGTTATATTTACAGTTATATTTACAGTAACACATATATAATCGACTTGAAGTAGACTTTATAACGTTTGTGAATTGTTTTGATTCAAATAATCAAATTATTAGTTTATTACAGTACTGTTTCAAGTACTATCCCCCCTCCCAGTGGAGAAAAATTTGAAATGTTTGTTGATTTTCGTTGTCCAATCAGGGTTGAGTGTATTTTGAGTTGTTCAACGACTTCCGCTTTTTGTCCAGCAAACCCGGCACGCGGATATATTTTGGCCGAATTTTGTTATTCCCTCACGGATTTCAGAGCGAATTTAAGCTCTTTGATTAAAGCATCGTTGTTTTGAGAGTTATACGGTATCATTCTTGCAGGGGATATCGATTAATTGTGAAAGAAATGCATTAAAGGCGAAAAATCGAGGATAGTTTCGTGTGACATATGCCAGTCTGGGCTATTTTGGTCTCAATGTTTCCTTCCAATGTTTCAATGGTCTCATGGTTTCAAGGTCTCAATGTTTCCTTATATATATATATATATATATATATATATATATATATATATATATATATATATATATATATATATATATATATATATATATATATATATATATGCCGAAGCGAGACCACTAAGTTTCGGAGCGAGACCACTAGTTTTTACCTTCGGCCAAAATAAATGGTCCCGCTCCTCAACGATTGTTCCCGACTTCAGCAGTTCCACGGTCCATTTATTTTTGAATGTGAAACTGCTATTCTGAGGTCTCTCCGAAATGTTTTTCATTTAACTTATCTCAGAGCTTCGGGATCACCTTATCAGTCCAGCTAAGACTCTAATATGATTATCCTAGGTGCAATCCTACACTTCTCCAATATCGTCCAATTTTCCTATTCTGGAGCCTCTTCGACATCTTTTATTTTCTCCTTGGGGGTACACAAGGGGGTATGCCTTTGTAGTCCGGATACACTGTTGGCATCATCCTTTTCACCCTGTGTGGTCACTTCAACCTTAATATCATTGGATACAGAGAAATTTATATCTCCAGCCTTCCCATTTCTCCTAGACCTCTTACGGCAGCCACAGATTTTACCCATACATGAGAAGCATGAACGCCACTCTGACATAATACTTTATGATACAACACATGTTATCCACCGTTTGACCCTGAATATAACAGTGACCAACAAAAAGACAGATCCATACTCATACCAGTAGGCATTGAGTGTTCCGGTTTAACGATAACACACCAGACTAGCTTGTTATCTACCAACTCGGCTTGGTTTCCCAGATAATACTCACTATTGCCCTTAAAGACGTAGCAAGCTGCACTTCCACCATTACTTGTGTAAGTTCCGTTGAAGTAAGTGTGTGATAGCCTACTCAAGTTGATTGTGCTAAGAACGATTTCCTTTTTAGCTTGTATAAATTTTCCGTTGGACTGCTTTTTCCATACGGAGGCCCACAGGGTGAGTCCCAGGGGTACGTTAGTAACGACTGAAAGAAGTGGGGAATCTGATTTAATAGTAATTAACTCAAGGTTGAGGTTCGTTAGATTGTGAATAGTTTCTGTTCTCCATGAAGGTGGAATCTGATCTTGACAGTAAGCATAGTACCTTGTTGCTGCAAGTGATACTCCGCGATATCCCCAGATCCACTGTGAATAAATATGATGAATTTTCCGAACATATCTATTATCAGCTGTCGCTTGGACAAGACCTGAGGAAGATTTCAGGAAATTATTTTCCACCCATTGCTTGTTAACTGCATCCTCATCATTTACCGGATCCCTTAGATCAAGAATACCACTTGAATCTCCCATATCCA